ACAGAAACAATGGAGACTATCGAGGGGATGGTGTTCCTGATTCTCAGTATGTGGTTGTTTTTAACTGCTAGACGGAAAAATGTGTTTAAAATGAGGCTGATGGCAGCAAAACAAAAATACTGCTAAAAAAGTGTCTCGTGTCGCAAATTCTGTCTGACCAATCAGTGATCTGCAGTGTTTCACGTCACATTTTAGTACCGGTACGGTACGCTTGGAACCTCAACAGACCAGGTACCATTTAAAGCGACCTGAAGCGAACCGTACTGTACCGTACCATGCAGTTGAAAAGCACCACAAGTGAGCCGTACCGAACCGAACCGTACCGTACTATGCAGTGGAAAAGCGCCATAAATGTTCCATGTGACTACAGTGGCTCAAGTATAAGTTTATCAAGCGACGAGAATACTTTTTGTGAGGAAAAACAACAACAAAAATAACTAGAACGTACATTTCCAGACGAAAATGTGAAGTGGTGCTTGCAGTGGCAAAACTCACCACCCGGTTGCTAGGGTGTTCTGGGTGGTTGCTAGTTGGTTGTCAGGGTATTCTGGGTGGTTGCTATGCAGTTGCTAGGGTATTATGGGTGGTTGCCAATGTGTTCTGGGTAGTTGCTAAGGTGTTGCTAGGTGGTTGCTAGGGTGTTCTGGGTGGTTGCTAGGGTGTTGCTAGGTTGTTAGTAGGCGGTTGTTAGGGTGTTCTGGATGGTTGCTAGGTGGTTGCTAGGGTGTTTCTAAGGTGTTCTGGAAGGTTGCTAGGCAGTTGCTAGGGTGTTGCTCGGTGGTTGCTAAGGTGTTGCTAGGTGGTTTCTAGGGTGTTGCTAGGCGGTTGCTAGGGTGTTCTGGGTGGTTGCTAGGGTGTTGCTAGGTGGTTGCTAGGGTATTGCAAGGTGGTTGCTAGGGTGTTCTGGGTGGTTGCTAGGGTGTTGCTAGTTGGTTGCTAGGGTGTTGCTAAGGTGTTCTGGATGGTTGCTAGGCGGTTGCTAGGGTGTTGCTCGGTGGTTGCTATGGTGTTGCTAGGTGGTTGCTAGGGTGTTCTGGGTGGTTGCTATGGTGTTGCTAGGTGGTTGCTATGGTGTTTGGGGTGGTTGCTAGGGTGTTGCTAGGTGGTTGCTAGGGTGTTGCTAAGGTGTTCTGGATAGTTTCTAGGTGGTTGCTAGGGTGTTGCTATGCGGTTGCTAGGGTGTTCTGGAAGGTTGCTATGGTGTTGTTAGGTTGTTGCTAGGGTATTCTGGGTAGTTGCTATGGTGTTACTAGGTGGTTGGTAGTGTTCACATATGGTTATTATAGAGTTTTTATAATGTTCATGGCATGATTTAGCACTTAGCTAATCAATATTAGCATGTAGCTATTGACAGCTAGCATGTTTAGCATTTTGAAAGTTCTATGTGCTAGCATGAGTCAAAAGACCCAACCCCCATCGTGATACAATGTTCTGATGCTGAGATATAGCTGTTACAAAATGGTTGCTAGGGTACTCTGTTTGGTTGCTAGGGAGTGGCTTGGCAGCTTCCAATCATGAAGCTCCAAAGCCAATGTGAATGTATAAACCAACCCCCATCTCTATACGATGTTCTGATAAAGAGATGTAGGCCTTGCAAAATGGTTGCTAGGGTACTCTTTTTGGTTGCTAGGGAGTGGCTTGGCAGATGCCAATCATGAATCTCCAAAGGCTGCTTGTCAGTATAATTGATATAATACAACTCCCAAGCCTGTATGACATTCAGAATGGAAGATATCCCTCTTTAAAATTTGGTTGCTAAGGTGCTCGATAATGGTTGCTAGGGTGTGGCCAGAAATTGTTGAGGTGATTCATGATTGGCTGTTTGCTACCCCGAGTCAAACGAGACCACCCTTGTGTTTCTATGACACTTCTATCCGGAGATATCCCTTTGATCTCTTTCAATGGAAGTCTATGGGAGTTGTTGCTAAGGTGCTCTATATGGTTGCTAGGGCGTGGCTTGATAGCTTCACAATGATCCTGAGAGACTGATTGGTCGTCTGAGTAAAATGAGCCCGCCCCCTTGTCTCTATGACACTATGATCCAGAGCTATGTTCAATACAAAATCCCTATGCAATTTACCATAGTAGGAAAAACACATGCATTTGATGGGACATCCTTCACCATAGTAAGTCAATGGGGAAAATTTTGGGTAGCTCCTGCCCCCCAGGGGTGCAACTTTTACCCCATTGTGAGATATGTTCTTACAGAGGCTGCCAGCCTCTTCAAATGTGGCAAATCACACGTTTTTCCGAAATCGTTGTTCGGAGCTATGAGTCGTCAAAGTTTGTCTCAATGTTAAGTCTATGGGATTTTTTGGAAATTTGTTCGCCCCTGGGTCGAACACCGTACCCCCGATCTCTGATAAAAGTGATAGGACACTTCTCTTCAATAGGCCGCACGATTTGATGCCTCATTCATGGGTCTGTGACAAAAACTGTGGACGTAGGAGTGCGCCAAACTTTTTCCTGGAATAGTATAATGCTATACTAGAAATTTTAAATAACATTGGGGTCAATGGGGGAAAATTTGGGCAGCTCCTGCCCCCCAGGGGTGCAACTTTTACCCCATTGTGAGGTATGTTCTTACAGAGCCTGTCAGCCTCTTCAAATGTGGTAAATCACAGGCTTCTGTGAAATCCTCGCTCGGAGCTATGAGTTGTCAAAGTTTGTCGCAATGTTAAGTCTATGGGATTTTTGGGAAATTTGTTCGCCCTTTGGGCGAACATCGTACCCCCGATCGCTTAGAAAAGTCATAGCACACCATTCCCGAATATTCCGCACGATTTGAGACCTCATTCATGGGTGTGTGACAAAAACTGCGGGAGGAGTAGCGCGCCAAACTTTTTGGCCGACTCAAAAAACACAATAGTAATAGTGTTGCCTTGCTTTCAGCAAGCACCACTAATGACTTTATTCGACTATTCCTTTTCTTTCTTGTAGTCCTGAGACGAGACTTCAAGAGATTTCCACGACGCATGCGCGAGAACTACGATCTCCTTCAACTACTTCAGTTCAGTTCTCGCGCATGCGTCGTGGAAATCTCTTGAACTCTCGTCGTACGGTACGCGCTTAGTACGGCTGTACTAATTGATTGTATATGCTCATATAAACGCCAAAAGTTCATGGGGCACTAACCTTGTTTTAAGATAAATACCTTTTATTCACGATGTATTGGATAAGTACTTCATTACTAGGGTTGGGTATCGTTTGAATTTGAACGATTCTGATTCAGATTCCTTGTTTCGATTCCGGTTCCTAACGATTCTCGATTCCGATTCTTTTAAGAGGCAGGGTCAAAAAAGTTTAGCTAACCTTGCTAACCAACGGCCTTTCTGATGGAAATACTCCTTCTGTAAAAATACTCCTTTTGTCACAAATTTTGCATTTTGCCGAGATTTCGTTATTTTTAGAAAAGTGAAGCGACACTTTGGATCGTCGACGTAAGCTACTCATGTTCGACTCGCGTGGTTATGCCAACACTTCCGGTAGACCCTTCTTCGTTGTTGTTGTTCAGCGGTTTCTTCTGCCGCTCGGCGGACTGTGAATATCGAAACTAGGAATCGAAATTTTAACTTTTGAACGATTCCGGGAAAAACGAAAAGTTAGTCTCGGTTCCAATCGATACTCGATTCTCGATACCCAACCCTAGTCATTACCCACAATCCTGAACAATCCCACAGTGATGCATCTGATTGGTGGAAGTCGTGTAACGTGTCTAAATTTTGGATTAACTTGTAAAGATTATCTTGCTAGACAAAACGTGTAAGGGTCACAACCCTTTGTTGAACACAGATCTTATTTTTTGCGATTTTCCAAAAGTCTATGGGGAAAATGCATTGCTTTTCAACCGAGGGAACCCATGCGCCGCTAGCTTCCGGGTTGTCCTACAAAGTGACGGCATCACTTCGGCACTCTATTGGATGTGTAAAATTCACAGGAGGAAAAAGTTCACGCGGCCGTCGTCAGATTTGGAAGTCACTCAAAAGACTCTTTCACGGTGGCTTCAGTCGACTTTAGTGAGGCGCGGTGGTTTATGGGAGGAGTAGTTCCTTGGCTCGGAAATTATAATATGTACACAGGCTTGTACCCTTGACTTTTTTTGGGATTTTGTCTTCGTTTTTCCACTCGAAATGATATGTTGTATGTTTATGAGTTCAGCCATAGCTGGTTATCCTCAGACATGCTCTTATACTCTTTAGATATGGATTTGACAAAATGTCAATGGGAGAAATGAATGGGAAATTTACTTTCGGCACCAACGCTCTCTCGGGCTGTGGGCGGGAATATTGACACTGAACTGACTGAAGCTAAAATTGCATAATTTTCCTGTTGTCACCGTAAAGCTGCTTTGAAACAATATGTTTTGTATAAAGCGCTATATATATAAAAGTGACTTGACTTGACTATGTTCGTTCGTTCATTTATTAATTAATAATTCATTCATTCATTCTATCTGTCCATCCATTGTTATGGAGAAAATCTCTTTCTTGCAGATGAAGCTCAAGAATCAGTGTTCCAGAAGTCAAAATAAGACATCATTGGTCAATGCAAGACATCTGAATCATCTTTATACACTCCTCTTATCAGCTGTTAACCAATGAGATCGCCACACCTGCTTCCCAAAATTAGAGCCCATGCATCTAATTTTGGGATCCTGCCAATTGAACTATCCATCCATCCATGAAAAACTATCAGGACTGTGCTGGTAAAGAGAGGATGAGAGAGTGTGGAAATCAGAGGAGGGAAGAGGGGGTGGCGGGTGAAAATATCACTTAGTGTCCATACAAAGCACTTTAGCACACACACACACACACACACACACACACACATGCCTGTGAGGTCTTGGCTCATCTCACAGCAGAGGAGTTGACAGGAATGATGCTCATCTGACAGATCGGACAGATATCAGACTCAAGATAAGAGGATACTCACGAGTGCATAGATTGCTCTGTCAGGTAAGACCTATTATTATGTGCTTTTTTTGACCATATTTATTCTCAAGTATATTAATGATCAGAACTGATATTTATAAGTTCAATTGATTTGCAAATCTTCACATTGGACAGAAGTGATGCATTTCGACAGTCGTCTTATTAAACACTCTTCACTTATATTATAGTATAATATTCGGTTATTAATGGCTGTTTATGTACAGTAGCTCATCAGGGTGTGGTCCAGTACACCAGTTATTTCACTACAGTAATACTGACATCAACAACAACAGTGCGTATAATGTGTGTTTAGCTTCTGACATTGTTCATAGTCTTTGCCAATGAAAGCATCGCTGTTTTTACTGTCCACACTTAGTGTTAAACTAAAGATTGGTGCTACAGATATAAATGATTGCTCCAATTCCTCCTGTGTTGTTGACGAGAGTTTGTGCTTATACTTTACTTACTGATCAGATGCACCATTTTCACCTGCTGGACCAGAAAACGGGTTGAGAGAAACCTGAGCAAATCCTTTAGCGTCATATAAAACGCTATGACAAAACGGCGCTATATGGCACTCGTTATCGTTAATATAACACGCGCTGTGATGGTTAGGTTTAGGTAGTCTCATATTACGCGGAAGGATTTATGACGCCTTGGGTTCGCGTGAATATTAACGATAAAGGGTGCCATGTGCGTAGTATAGCGCCGTTTTGTCATATAGCGTTCTATGTGACGCTAAAGGATGAGAACGGGCTGGACTAGAAGATCACATTCACAGAGACATGATGAAGTTCAGGTCTCTTATTACTCCAGAGAGCAAGAAACCACCTAGAAACGACAAAGATCACCCTAGAAACACCCTAGCAACCACACAGAATACTTTAGCAACTGCTTAACAATGCTAAAAACCATTGACCGCACACATTTTCAAATGACGTAAGCACTGCGACATTAATAATAATGCATTCATACATTTTTAATGCTTGAATTCATTGGTTTAATGATTTCCCCAGACTCGGCCGAGTCCACGGGCGGCGGGACATCTGAAGACATGCTGTCTGTCCCAGAGCGCCTGCCCCTCGGGGACTATTCCCGCTCAAGTTCCTGCGAGAAGCTGACGCCTCGCTCCGACCACACGGTCCTCAGCCTGTCCGGAAAAGAGATCCGCTGGACCCCTCTGCCCCCTCCAGGCAACTGCGAGTACTACTGGCACGCCATCCTCCTCATGACCTCCGGGGGCAGCGTGCTCCTCTCCGGGATGGTGCTGACTGGACTTTACTTCGCTGATGTTTCCACCATGGCCACCAATATTTTAGGCCCCGCCCTTCTGTCTATTGGTCTGATGGTGATGGTGGTGGGTGTGGTTTTGATGCCCATCACACAGAAAATGAAGCATCAGAGTGCAACGAATCGTCTCAGCGGTTTCTACAAGCTATGAGAAGAACCTAAAGCGCCCAAACCCTGTCCTGGAGCGAGTTTAGCTACAATTTGCCTCAACTAACCAGCCTGGAAGTTTCTAGGATGTGTTCGAAATCGCCCCCTATACCCTCATTCGCTATTCCCTATATTACTCCGCTTATATCGTTCACTTGAAGGGGTGAATGAAAACGAGTGAGTGAATTCGGACACTGACTGCTGCTTCTGCATAGTTTGTGCTGCAAACTGGCAGCACCAGTAGTAATGAAAAGATTTAACTTTGTCATCTGTTTAAAGTCTAATTTGACAATTTAATCAATTAAAAACGAAGTTATGCCTGTATGATATTACGCTGTACCCACATTGGACGGCGATATGAAAAATGTATGGGTGGATGATTCGGCTGCGGCGCCATCTTCTGGTCAGATGTGGTTATTAATTGGATGCGCCACTCTCACAGTGCATTATGCGTATTTTCTAGCCGTTGGGTGTACACTCGTTATTGTGGTGCATTGTGGGATTGAATGAGTGCACTCGATAGTATCACACCACTACAAATGGCTGTCCCCTCAAAAAGTGCCATATCTAAGGGTATAGGGGGAGATTTTGAACACAGCCAAGTAATTCTGACAACATTAATTAACTGGCGTATGTGTGTTTAATTGGGGTTGGAGATGAATTCTAGATTAAATATTTTGAACAGAGGACAGGAGCGGGATTGGACACCCCTGGGCAAGACCATTGTTTGTTTTTAGACACTGGTTGATTCTGCTTCCATTACATTTCTTCTTTTTTATATATATATATTTATATATGTATATATATATATAAAAGCGTCTCTATTTGCAAACTCGCGTGCTGCGTTGTGTTTATCGTGCAATTTATACACCAAAAAATGATTTTTACATGCATATATACAGTTTTCGCGTGCATTTGATACGCACTTTATTGCGTGTAATACACACGCACCCGACTACACTACTAAACCTACCCATGCGTATCATATGCACGTAAAAATTCATTTTCGCGTATAAATTGCACGATAAACACAATGCGTACTATATAGACGCATTTATATATATATACATATGTGTGCGTGTATATATATATATATATATATATATATATATCAGCCTGATCTCATAAAAAAGTGTCTCTATTTGCAAACTCGCGTGCTGCGTTGTGTTTATCGTGCAATTTATACGACAAAAATGAGTTTTTAGATGCATACACAGTTTTCGCGTGCATTTGATATGTACTTTACTGCGTGCCGTGTAATACACACGGACCCCACACCGCTAATCCTACCGATACGTGCAACCCGATCTCACGGTAATTCGTACGAATTTTACGAGGTGGCTAATTCGTAACAATTCGTACGACCTCACTCGTATGATTTTGCTAAATCGTACATATTTTACGAATTAGCCAATTCGTATGAATTCGTACGAATGATCTACCCCTGACCCCGCCCCTAAACATAACCGTCACGTGGGTTTAGACAAATCGTACAAATTCGTACGAGTGAGGTCGTATGAATTAGTACGAATTAGCCACTTTTGAATCACTCGTACGAATTCGTCGCGAGATAGACACGCACCAGGCGACACCACTAAACATGCGTATCATGTGCACGGAAAAATTCATTTTCGCGTATAAATTGCACGATAAACACAATGCGTGCTATAGACACATATATATATATATATATACGCATATATATATATATATATATATATATGCGTCTAGCACGCATTGTGTTTATCGTGCAATTTAGAGTAAAAAAATGTCAGAAGAAAAACAGTATTTTTGGATGTATGGAAAAGATTTATCCAAACTCTCCTCTGTAAAACATTTTTTTTAAATAATTTCTAAAATATTCTATTCTATGTTACAATGAACAGTTGATTCAAAGCAGATTTACAGAAATTATGTTGTCAACATGGAACTGTTTTTCTGTCCTGCAAACGAGTGCATATATATAATTAAACGTTTGCATATTTAAACATACAATTTCAGAAAACGAGTAATGTGATACATTGTCTTGATGTACAGTGATTAATCAATTGGAGAGAGTTAGGTGATATCCATTTAAATTATTCACGTAGTGTCTTGTCTTAATGGAAAAATCGCATTGTGGCTGTAAAGAGAGTCCCACTTCCTTGGCAATTACTGAAACTGTGTATGTGCATTAGCTAAGCCAATGTGGTTTTGGGCCTGGTTTGTTCGGTGATATTTTTGTCCGAGGTTCCTGGTGCAATTGAAACATTAGTCTCAGCCTCAGACGTCTCCACCACAGACAGTTGGCTGAACGTCTGATGCATTATGGCACCTACAATGGGAGACACTTCAGGAGTTTCGAAGTCTGATTGGTTGAATTCTTCTGGATTTAACCACCTGGAAACAAAGCAGTCGTGAAGCCAAACCCCCTCATGGAAAAAGAAAGCCATTGTGTTTACAACTGTGACAATGAGCAAATATCAGGATCAATAAACACTACAGCACCATTATTGCAGTAAAATTGCACAACGTTCTTGAATGAATTGCAGGGACTTTTCATTTTCACACCGCTAAACATGATGCTGGACTAAACGAGCTGTGATTGGTTGCTTTATGTGTCAGTTAGACGGCCTCTTGGCCAATGAAAGCTGCTGAGGAGTTAATCTGAAGGTCTGGCGATTGAACAATTTTATATTTCTTACATTTTAATTCCTCATGAGATGTGAACTTGCATGCCTTGAAAATATCTGTGTTGAAGCATTATAAGATGGACGCAAGGACTTTTGGATCACTGTCAATGTTGCTAAAAAAAATGTATTAAACAAATTGTTTTGGATGACTATATGGGCACAACATCTCAGCTGCATTTTTACTTTATATGCAAATTTACACCAAGAAACTGCATGATGTGAATGTTTATTAAAACTCTGTTTGATTATTGACCCAGATTTTTATTTACAATGTGCGATGTGTTTGTTTTTAATTATGGTAATTATTGTAAATAAAGTTTCTGCCTTAATTGTTTAGTAATTAAAGTTAAATTGCATGAAACCGCCTTAAAATTAGTTGAATCTGGTAAAAACAAAACAAAAACGTAACTTAATTTGATTAGTTGAAGCATTGTTAAAACATGTGTTGTCATAACTCATTGGTGGTGGTTGAGGAGATTCCCCCCCCCCCCCTATGTGAAGCGCTTTGAGTGTCCAGAAAAGCGCTATATAAATGTAATGAATTATTATTATTATTATTATTGATTATCATAATTTGTTATTTTTTGTCTTTATTTGAAATTAATCTGAGTGGGATTGATTAAGAATCCACTAAGAACCTCACAAGTCTATTGGATAAACTAAAATGTCTTTTTTATTTTTCATAAAAATATGAAGTCAAGCTGGGATAAAACCTTTTCTTTTCTCATAATACCATGTGTGTGTGTGTGGCTTTGGTCAATTAAAAAAAAAAAAAAAGATCTCGAATTTGAATGACTTGAGCCCACATTTCACAGACAAATTTTTAGGTACAATCTGACACAGAACATGCTGAGGTATTAGTTGTTATTTGTTTTTCAGTTTTGCTTAGCAGGTAAGCTATCACTGACTCTAATAGTCAATAAAGAGGCAAAATAGGCGTTTACTCTACTTTTTATGTTTAGTTGTATATAATTAGTGTTATTGCTGAATTAAATGATGTAGGAAGGCCATTTGTTTTTTGTTTGCTTTTATTAATTAAATGCCATGAGAACGTATGATATTCACATTAACATTAGCTGCCAGAAAATGAAATAAACAAATAACAAAAATAGTTATTCCTAAAATCTAGTGCTTTCAAAGCATTACATAAATGTGAACAAATGTGGTTTGCATTGAGCCCACTTCTTTTTGTGTATATAGTATTTTAAATAATAAATACAAATACACAGATTTCTGTCATACACGTCCGTTTTCTACCAATAAAGTTTTCTAAATCTTTCCAAAATAATCTTGAGTAAATACAGTAGGAAAAAAAATGAATGCGAAATTGTTTCTTTTTCTAGATCACAAAATTCAAAGGCATATGAATTATAAGGTTAAATCTTCCCTAAACATGCTTAGCCGGATACAATTCTGTGAAGTATTTTCTAAGACAATTCCTTAAGTTTGTTATTATCACAATGCTTGCCTTTGACCCAAGAGATATGACCAAATAAAGAAGACCAAAAGAATCTCACAACAGGAAAAGACAAAGATAGCTATATTTTAATTTTTTTTTTAAAGATTCATTTTTGTTAGGAAGGCTAGGCAATATTAGTATTATTATTTTTTAATGAAGACATTGGAAGGTCATTTGACTGCATTGTCTTGCATCAATCTTGACATCACATTGGGTTATAGCCTGTATAAAAAAAACAGAACATATAACTTTAATGAAATTAATTAAAAAGTTGAAAAAAGTGATTCTTAGATGAGTAAAGGTGCTCTAAACGATGTCACGTTTTTTAGGCTGAAACGTTTGTTTTTTTTGTCCCATACAGCAAACATCTCACTATCCGCTCTCTGCATGTCCCCTCAACACACTGTAAATGAACTGGGTCTCTGTAGACAGCCCAGGCTCCACAGACAGCAACAAAAACAAACTGGGGCAACCCGCACCACCAAACAAAACAAACAGTGTTCCAACCAATAACCAACAAGAATGAATTGGGGTGGAGGTTTGGGGGTTAGTGCGCGTGCACATGAAGAGGGAAGTTAGCTAGACAGATGTCCCAGACAACAACTAACTATAATTATATTCTCTTGAATTTGGATATGGCCGACGAGGCACGACCAAAGAGACGACGCCCCTCCGAAGCACAAATGGCCAAGAGGAGGGGGAGGGAGAGGAGAAGCAGCGCGCGAAGACCCGGATTTACGTCGGACCAGCCTTCGAGAGGTGGCGAGAAGTCCGCCGGCAGAGGGGCTTCCTAACCGACATAGAGCTGGCTCTGTATCTGCTGGACAGGTCAGTGTGGACGTTAAATGGACGTCAGTGTTCGCCTAACCACCACAGGGATGTAGCTAATTAGCTAGAGCTGTGCAGTCAGCGCTACCTTGCTGAATAGCCTACCATAGAAGAAAGGTGAATACAATTTATAGGTTTCCAGCAGCTATCGATCTCTAATGTAAATGAGAGGAAGCACCAGCACGAGCTAGGCTCCGTTTTGGTTTTGTTTGTCAATACTTTGAAAGTCAACGGGAAGTTTTTCTATTTTCCAGTCCCACCATGCTAACATTAACAACATCTTGTTAAAGTCTTAGGAGGTCAAGCTGGCATAAAACCTTTTCTTTTTCTCATCATACCATCCCATCAGAAAGTGTCTGAGATTAGAAAGTAAAACATGACTGGACTAGAAAGATGTGTGGCTTTGGTAAAAATAAATTAAAAAAAACAAACAAAAAACCACACACACAACAAAAATACCAGATCTCTCATTTGAATGACTTGAGCCCACATTTGACAGGCAAATTTTAAGGATGTACAACCTGACAAATATTCATTTTTTTAGTTATTATTTTGCTTAACATTGACTCTAAATAACATATAGGCCAAAATGGAGGTGTAGTCTACTCGTTATACTGCATAAATAGTAGTAATTGAATTAAAGTGCGATGTAGGAAGGCCATTTCACCGCGTTGCCTTGCCGCCGTAGTGACGTCACAAGGGCGTTCCCCCTCGTGTCCGCCAGGTCCGTCTCACCTGGACTCGGCAGATCTTCCGCGACACCGACAGGAGCGGCAGCATCCTCCTCCTGAAGGTGAAGATGAAGGAGCTGAGGTGCATCGGCACCTGTTTGTCGTTATTCGTCATGGCAATCGTCTTCGACGTGGTCGGTGTGATCCTGCTGTTCGTCGGCGTGTTCGGGGACGTGCGGCGGAACGGCGTGTTTTACGGGGATTTCCTCATTCACACCGGCGGGCTGCTGCTGTTCGCCAGCCTGGCCTGGTGGCTCATGTGGTACGTGGGAAACATCAGGGTAGAGGAGGAGAATGAGCGCGTGGAGCGCGGGTCGAGCGCGGCGCGCAGCGTCAAAGAGCTCGCGAGGAAACTCACGGAGAGACTCTCCAAAACACACAACAGCGGTGAGAAGCTCACACACCAAAACAACATTTTCATGAGTCAAACTCTTTGTAATCGCCAAAGAACCATGGCGGTAACACTTTACAATAAGGTTCATTAGTTAAATTGAACTGAGAATGAACAATACTTGGACAGCATTTAGTCATCGGAGTTCATTTAAATTTATTAACATTATTAATATCAAAGGTTGTTGTTAACATTAGTTAATGCACTGTGAACTGACATGAACAAACAATGAGCTGTTTTTATGGGTTATTATTATTGGGTATGTTATTATTAACTAACATTATCAAAAAATAATAAATCGTCACAGATGTATTGTTTATTGTTATGTTAGTTAATAAATGAACTAATTAACCTTATTGTAAAGTGTTACCAAAAAATGATCTATATTCATAAAAAAGGCTTCCTTCCGTTAAAACTAAAGTTACGGAGCCTAAAAGACATGATGATGAGAGGTAAAATATAGGCTATTTTATATATAGGCTATAAGCTGCATAATATGATTCTTAAGATAAAAATAATAAGTTGAGGGAACACAACTAATTCAAGCTATTTTTTCCCTCTCGTCATTGTTTTTCTGTCACCGTCTCCTTATAAAGAACGATTGAAGAAAATACCTTAAAATGCATGCATCCTCATTCTTTAGAGCTTTTTTTAATTTCTAGGATCATAAATTTTTTTTCAAAAATTAAATTTAAGGTTAAATACTAAATTAAAAATGAATTGATACAGTCATACAAATAAAGGTTATTTATTTGGCATCGAAGGTTCCATGAAGAACATTCATATAATCTTTCCATTCCACAAAAGGGTTCTTAAGATTCTTTAGAATATTAAAATGTTCTTTCCGGAACTCAAATGGTTCTTCTATGACATCACTGCGAAATCCCTCATTTGGAACCTTTATTTTTAAGAGTGTGTCCATTTCCAGTCTGTAAATCCTCGTGTGTGTGTGTATTGATCTTTATATTGAATCCAGCCATGTGTCTTTATTTTGCACAGGTGAGAAAACTAGAAGCACCTCTTCCACCATTCGAAACGTGACGTGGGGCAAATCCACATATTTCCCAGGACAAAAGGATCTTGATTTGATCAAATGTGATGAACTACCCAAAGAAAAGTCCGATGATGATCAGTTCATGTACTACCAGAATCAAGGATACGAGGATGAGGAGTCCGGCAAGGCAATCCCAGGTGAGGACTCTGAGTCAGATGTGAGCAAATGCGATGAAGAGTCTCAGGAGAAAAAGCCAAAAGAAGACGAGTTCATCTGTTTCCAGAATGAAGGCTATGAGGATTCAGAAACAGACCGCAAACCTCCGGAGGAGAAGCCGGACGATCAGACGGAGCCGCAGAGTTTCGATGATCTGCTGTGAAAAGAGGCGAGTAAATATGAACCCCATATAATAAAGGCACTTCAACAAAACAAACTCCCATGTGACACGAACTCTACAAAGTTTCATGCTGTGCCCGTGACATTTTCATACATAAACATCCGTGTCTATTTCAGCTGGTGTGTAGTTGTTTGCCAAGATGCAAATCTAAACCTACACGTTATTTACATAGTTTGTTTACATAATATATGTGGGTGCACTGTGTATAATTTTATATATATATATATATATATATAATTATTGTATATAAATATAAATATTTTATATATAAATATAAATTATTTAGATATAAATATTTTTTTTCTTAAATATAAATGCGTGTAAATATTTATATATATTTATATATATATACACAAAATAATTATACACCGTGCAGGCGTGCACCCACATATATTATGTAAAAACAAACTGTATTTTGGATGTGATTAATCGCGATTAATCGTTTGACAGCCCTAATTTAGATATTAATCTTAGTTAATATTAACTTCAACATTTACTAATTCATGTATTGTTTATGTTAGTTAACACATTTACTAATGTTAGCTAATGAACCTTATTGTAAAGTGTTTCCAATAATTATGTATTGTTAGTATTTTGATCATATTTTTAGACCATTATCAAGAGACATTCATTGAAGAAAACTCACTAATTCATGAATTTATGTAAGCATATGATTTACATGTAAAGTTATTCTACTCGTGAATGAGGCTTGATATCGTTTCACACTGAAGTTTAAGAAAACTCTTCTTATTTTCCAGGTCCTGAAACAATGACTGAATTAGCCGAGAAGTCTTCAACTATTTGCCATCCGCAGTACGCTTAGATACTGCACACATTTCAAACGGAGTCTGAATTATAGAATTATGGCTTTAATATAGTAAAACACAATAGTCTGTTGTGTTTATATGGAGTGGTCAATTCATATGAAAAATTAGAGTATCGTACAAAAACTCATTTATTTCAGTAATTCAACTTAAAAGGTGAAACTAATATATTATATAGACTCATTACATGCAAAGTGAGATATTTACAGCCTTTATTTGTTACACTTTTGGGGCCAGTTGTTCAAAGGTAAACTGATCGGATTGGATCAAATCTTGAAAATGGCTTGTTCAAAAGGGAAAGAAGGAATCTGAAATCAGATTAGATCAGGGAATCCAATCCTAGTTTTAATCTGGATCAAACCTTCAGTTTGTGTTGTTCAAAACTTGTCAGTGGGATTTGGATAACTTTGATCCAAAAAAACAGGATTATCCTGATCCCAACAAGGTGGATTTCAGGAAGAAAATGTAGTAAAACTTTAAAACTGGTCAAATAATACATTTGTATCATTTAGTGTTTATACTTCTATTTATATTTTGCACTTGACTTGTGTAACTGTTGTAACATTGATAAAGTAGACATAATTAAGCTATTCAGTATGGTAAAGTAAAAATAAAATAAAAATGATCTTGTCCCCATTTGTGTTTTGTCTCAAAATAAGAAAAACTTACAGTGAGTGACCCCATGTTGGCTCTTCTACCTGTTATTTACAAAGCTGGTAGCCCACATTGTGATATGTTGTCCCATTTAGAGCACTGGTAATCTTGAAAACTGCGTATCTGGATCAGGGTGATCCAGTCCAATGTTGCTTTGAAAAACCGGCATAAAAGTAAGACGGATTACCTGATCAAAGTGGGATTTCCAAATCCGGATAATTTTGATCCAGATTAAATGTTTTGAACAACTGGCCCTCGAAAATTATGGCTTACACCTTATGAAAAACCCAAATTCAAAATTAGAATATATTAGCTGTAAGCCATAATCATCAAAATTATAACAAATAAAGGCTGTAAATATCTCACTTTGCATGCAACGAGTCTATATAATTAGGGATGCACCGATATGAACTTTTTGGCCGATACCGATAACCGATAATTCTTTATATTTGAAAGCCGATAACCGATATATCGGCCGATAAATGTAAATCCATTTTTTTTAAAAATAATTTTTGAGAGCCTGATTGCAAAAACAAAAGTCTCACAATTAAAATCCATTTCCCAATCACACAATTATAATGTTCTCATTATAATTTCATGAACCGATATGATCGGTAATTTCATGAACCGATATGATGCACATTTTGCACTTGCACTTTATAGGAAACTAAATTTCCTTTTTGATTCCGATCATATTTCAAGCAATTAAGATCAATGTTGTTGAACAGTGCGCATCTTAAGTGTGTCAAGTGTTGAAGGAAATAATTCATTATTTATCATCTTTAATATATCAGCCAATTTTTATTATCGGGCCGATAACGATAACATAAAAATGAACAAATATCGGCCGACGCCGATATATCGTGCGTCACTATATATAATACATTAGTTTCACCTGTTAAGTTGAATTACTGAAATATAACCACTCTTTACTGATATCTGTGGCTTATGTAATGGAATTTAGTGGTGTCACCAGACTGGTCAAATGAAGTGAACTCTTACTTTGCACGTTATTTACTCACTTTTATGCTGTTGGCAAATTACCTCCAAAAAGTAGAGGTAACACCAACGAATGTTGGGTCATTTCAAAATCAGACTATCGCTATTTTATTGTGTCACTTGTGTCGTGTTTCTGTTGATATTCGAAGTGAAACTCAGGTACGGCCCTTATTTTTGCACGTTCTCATTTGTGAATTCACGCATGCATAGTAGGAAACCATTTCCCTTTCAAAGCGGCAGCTGGGCGTTCATGCAAACTCCTCCACTGTCAAGCCATTTCACTTGTTAGCCAATCAACAGTCGGCGCGGTCATCAGCGACCAAACCAGTCCGACAGCAAATACTTCAGTCTGAAGTTTCAATACTTTAGTGGAAGGGGAGCCAAATATATATGTTATTTTATTGCTAAGACATAAAACTAGAGTATATGAAGAATTCTATATTGCCAGATCATGAAATTTTAAGATATATTTTAGTATAGATTATATTTTCAGTAGTGAGTGAGGCATGTGTGTGTGTACATGAAGAATTGTATGATGTAGTGTATGTAAATATAAAACATGTAATCTTGCTTTCACTGTACTGTAATATGAAATGTGTGTAGAGTTAAATCTGTCTTTAGCTCAAGTTTGTATAAACAATCCAAAACATCAAATTAAACCACATTTCACCCTTAATGACTATAATTGTTTTGGTGTTTTTGTCAGTCAAGAATCACAATCAGGGTTATTGAACCCATAATCTTGAGTATTAAACCCATAATCTTGAGTATTGAACCCATAATCTTGAGTATGGACCCATAATCTTGAGTATGAACCCATAATCTTGAGTACTGAACCCATAATCTTGAGTATTGAACCCATAATCTTGAGCATGAACCCATAATCTTGAGTATTGAACCCATAATCTTGAGTATGAACCCATAATCTTGAGTATTGAACCCATGATATTGAGAATTGAACCCATGATCTTGAGTATGAACCCATAATATTGAGTATGAACCCATAATCTTGAGTATGAACCCATAACCTTGAGTATGAACCCATAATCTTGAGTTTGAACCCATGATCTTGAGTATGAACCCATGATCTTGAGCATTGAACCCATAATCTTGAGTATGGACCCATAATCTTGAGTATGAACCCATAATCTTGAGTATTGAACCCATAATCTTGAGTATTGGACCCATAATCTTGAGTATGGACCCATAATCTTGAGTATGGACCCATAATCTTGAGTATAAACCCATAATCTTGAGTATTGAACCCATAATATTGAGTATGAACCCATAATCTTGAGTATTGAACCCATGATCTTGAGAATTGAACCCATAATCTTGAGAATTGAACCCATGATCTTGAGTATGAACCCATAATCTTGAGTATGAACTCATAATCTTGAGTATTGAACCCATAATCTTGAGTATTGAACCCATGATCTTGAGAATTGAACCCATAATCTTGAGAATTGAACCCATGATCTTGAGTATGAACCCATAATCTTGAGTATGAACCCATAACCTTGAGTATGAACCCATAATTTTGAGTTTAAACCCATAATCTTGAGTATGAACCCATAATCTTGCGTATGAACCCATAATCTTGAGTCTGAACCCATAATCTTGAGTATGAACCCATAATCTTGCATTGAACCCATAATCTTGAGTATGAACCCATAGTCTTGAGTATTGAACATAATCTTGAGTATGAACCCATAATCTTGAGTTTGAACCCATAATCTTGAGTATTGAACCCATAATCTTGAGTATGAACCCATAATCTTGAGTATGAACCCATAATCTTGAGTATTGAACCCATAATCTTGAGTATTGAACCCATAATCTTGAGTGTGAACCCATAATCTTGAGTATTGAACCCATAATCTTGAGTATGAACCCATAATCTTGAGTTTGAACCCATGATCTTGAGTATGAACCCATAATCTTGAGTATTGAACCCATAATCTTGAGTATGAACCCATAATCTTGAGTTTGAACCCATGATCTTGAGTATGAACCCATAATCTTGAGTATTGAACCCATAATCTTGAGTATGAACCCATAATCTTGAGTTTGAACCCATGATCTTGAGTATGAACCCATGATCATGAGTATGAACCCATAATCTTGAGTATTGAACCCATAATCTTGAGTCTGAACCCATAATCTTGAGTATGAACCCATAATCTTGAGTATGAACCCATAATCTTGAGTATGAACCCATAATCTTGCATTGAACCCATAATCTTGAGTATGAACCCATAGTCTTGAGTATTGAACATAATCTTGAGTATGAACCCATAATCTTGAGTTTGAACCCATAATCTTGAGTATTGAACCCATAATCTTGAGTATGAACCCATAATCTTGAGTTTGAACCAATAATCTTGAGTTTGAACCCATGATCTTGAGTATGAACCCATAATCTTGAGTATTAAACCCATAATCTTGAGTTTAAACCCATAATCTTGAGTATGAACCCATAATCTTGAGTATTGAACCTATAATCTTGAGTATGAACCCATAATCTTGCATTGAACCCATAATCTTGAGTATTGAACCCATAATCTTGAGTTTGAACCCAAAATCTTGAGTATTGAACCCATAATCTTGAGTTTGAACCCATAATCTTGAGTATTGAACCCATAATCTTGAGTATTTCACTTCAAAATGAAAATTCTGTCACCATTTACTCACCCTTACGTTGTTTCAAACCTATATGTATTTCTTTCTTTTGTCAAACACAAAGGAAGATATTCTGAAGAATGTTGTTAACTAAACAGTGGATGGACCCCATTGACATCCATAGTATGATTTATTTTTCTATAGAAGTCATTGTATCTTTTGTGTTTAACAGAATGGAAATTGAATGATCCCTAAAATCATGTGAGTAATCTGTGACTAATAGCAGTTGTTTGAGCATTGCACAACTCAGAAAACCACTCTGAATGCCACATACACAGTGGTTCTTTGACAAAGGCTTTCAGAAAGATCTGAATCTGTTCACTTCACAGTCGGTCCACTTTCATTGTGAGGAAAACTGCTCATATGCATAAAAATAGAGTGGCGCATTTGACAGGTGGTTGGACTTGTTTTGGTGGTTGTAAAGGAATGGACTACGTAAGAATGAGGGTGAGCTGCTTCATAAAAGCCTTACAAAAGAAAGCGTTCCTGTCAGTCATTCATTCATTCTTGAGTGCCATGAGCCTTACCTGAGCTTCTCCAAGATGGGCTGCAAGGAAAGAGTGGGACGCTGCGCTATCTTTCTCTCCTTGGCCATTCTGTTCGACGTTGTCGGATTGGCTCTCTTGATCATTGGGATTTTTGCACCTCTCAATTATTGGGACTTTTTTATCCTTTCTGGACCGATCATCATCTTCCTTAGTCTGGTGTTTTGGATCTTTTGGTACTTGGGGAACCTCACAATACCGTACCGTGAAATCCTGCCCAGGTGAACATGGATAAGAGGAGGAATATGGACTGGAGAATATGAACTCTTAAGGAACTCCTTGAAACGACCAATAGAAAGGATGACGTGTCACTGCCGGACT